CTGTCCTGACCGGAGAGTTGCTCCAGCCCTCGGATCATTTTTGTAGCCCTGCTCTGGACCCGCTCCAACAGGTCCATGTCCTTCTTGTGCTGAGGGCTCCAGAGCTGGACTCAGTACTCCAGGTGAGGTCTCACCAGAGCAGAGTAGAGGGGAAGAATCACCTCCCTCGACCTGCTGGCCACACCTCTCCTGACGCAGCCCACTGAGCCAGACGGCATTGACCATACGACCACTGGTGAAACTGGGGCAAGCAAGAATGGTGGGGCTCTATTTCTGACTCGGCTGCTGACCTGCTGGAGGCACTGCAGGGGTAAGGCAACAGCTCCTGTACAGAAACTGCGATTAAGGATGCGAGGCAGCTTGTGCAAATCGCGTTGTCCCGTTCCCCTTGCAGCCCTGCGACTGCAGGCTCACAGCTGCACACGGCGGGGGCTGCCTTTTGCCACCCGTACGCACAGCTGCGAGCGTAAGGTCACCCAGCTTGAAACACAACTTGCTCGGGCCAGTTGTTTGAGTGGGTGAACAACCTGAGAGACACAACTTTTGCCCCTTCCCCACAAGCTTCTTCCTCTCTTGTTTTTTTTTTTAATCTTCCTGTTATATTAAAGCCTCAGCGTAACTATAGGCTCAAAAAAGCAGTGGTTTTATTCCCTGTTACCCCAGCGAACGCTATTAGTGTAACAGCATTGCTGGCTGCACCCTGGAAGGGCTGCTCCAGCAAAAACAGGACAATGGAAAGTATAAAGTGACTCTTAATGCACGTGCAGCCCAGTGTGGGAGGTTGGACTAGAGACCTCTAGAGATCCCAACCCATTTGCAATGTTCTGAGATTTTTGTCAGGGATGCCAAGTAAGGCAACCTTCATATTACCATAGATCACATGTGCCACAACTCTCAAGAAAGTCAGTGATGGAGTACCCAGGCTGGCATGGGGGTGGAGGGACAGGATCTGTGATATCTAGATAGTAGGAAGTGTAAGGTCAAGAAATGGTCTTTTGTGGCAAAACATGTAGAACAGTGCCATTTGTTCAGCTGGTAGAGCAGACTGCCTGGTAACATCCCCAACCCCGGTGCCCAAGAAGCCTGCCCCTCAGGAAACATTAAAAATGCCCTTGGGTTTACACAAAGGGCGTGGGGCCCCTCACACATGGCTTATGCTGGCCTTTTCAATAGCCAGCACGTACAGCCAGGCACATCCAATTTGGAAATAAGCAGGCTGACAGTACACCGTCAGTTTTGGATGAGCTCTATTCCCGCAGGGTCGAAGGCGGAAGAAGCTGTGGCCCTGGGGGAGAGCTTAGCCTACAGCTCACTGATGGTCTAGCTAAATGCTGGAGGCTGCTGGAAGCACCTGGCTGTGGGAGGCTCCGGTGAGCAGGAGCAGACAGGGCTGCCGGGAGGCGAGCTGGGTGCCCTGGCACAGACTCAAGCAGAGGCTGCAACAGCCACCAAACGTCGCCTACTGCGATTCTCTCCGAGCCAACATATCCCCCTGCCTGGACAGCTTTCCTTCAACACTCCCTCTGGCTCTGACATTAGACAGCTTTCCTTTGTGTGACCATATTTGGTCTCCTGTATGCTCCCGGGATGACATGGGGGCAGATACTTGGGAAAGGTGCAGAGGGAATGTAGTCAAATAAGCAGAGACTGAGATAGTAGACCTGTGTACGAGGACTGGAGTAAAGCTACTTCACCATGTTAATCCTTGGGGGTTACCAGACATATTACCACTAAAATACCAAACACCACATGAGCACCGGCTGTGGTACTGTAACTCAGATCTCCTTTGCCTCAGTTTCATCTTTTGGATATTCAAAAAAAGGGTTCATTTGTATTTTTACAGCTTTGGCCAAATTCTTGCTTTCTGTAACAAAGATATGGATGGGATAAAGTTTATTCAACTTAAAATACACACTTTAACCATGCATGTGCTCAGTGAAGCTTAAGGTCTTTGGATGGTAGTAACCTCAGTTAAAGGAGCAGGGCTTTGCAACAGCTTTGAGCCATGCCACGCAGTTCCCTCATGTTCCTCCCAGTGTAGCTCATGCTCCGGTTGGCACAGCATGAGTATCTATGCGCGTTGTCACATGGGAAGATATAAGGGTCCCAAAGACATCTCTTTACCATTGTGGGCTACTGTCTCTAGCGTCTCCTCACTGCTGAGGGTGCTAAGAGTCCCTACCAGCTTGCTAGCCTTGGACGTAATATCAGACCGAGGAGGTGGGCTGAGCCAACATAAATGATTTCGCCTTCCTAAACCAGATGCCAGACAAAGCTCTCTCCTGACCCAACCAGTGAACGAGACAAAGCAAGTCTGCGGGCTCAGGACATCCATCCGCCCTCAACCCAGCTTGTGCTAGGAGAGCTGTCAGCACTGTCCTTGCTGCATTATCCGGGTGCCGCCTCCTTCTTGCTCCAGGTGCCAGTGGGGACCAGTGCCAACTCCCAGCAGCGCAGCGACCCACCCAGCCCATGCCACAGCATGGAGGAGGTCTTCATGGCAAGCTTCTGACCACAGGGGCTTGCTCTCCTGGTAGATGTCACAAGGGTGCCTCCAGAGAAGAAGATCCTTGCCTATTTTATTCCATTTTCTTACACCTTTCATTACCCAGACCCCACAGGAGTATGAGATTACTGCGACATCCCTCTCAGCTCAGCTATTTCCGAGGTGCATGTTACCTCAGGTCCACATTTCACGGAGCCATCCCAGGAGCAGAAACACCACCGAAGATGCCATGGAGGGAACACTCAAATAGAAACTGTTTCCTACAACTTTGTTCCCAACATTCTCATGTCACTTTCTTCTCGGAGCCCCGCAAGTATCCCTGGATCCTTTCGCCCTCTCCAGCTCCCTCCTGCTACGAAACCACCCCCTTTTTTACACCCCTTTACCCCATGGGTTAGGCAAACAGAAGCTGATTCACAACAGGCATGTTGATTCCCTTGCCAGTGGGGTGAGAGGCTGTTTCACCGGCCTTTCCACCTCCTCATGTGAAAAATGAGTTATGATACGGAGTTCACATGCTCTGAGGCTGTTTGCTGCTGGGTCACCTGTGGTTAGCAAATGGATTCAGAAGTTATTCAGGGGTGAGCCCTCAAAGGCAGAGACGGTCAGAGAGGGGCAGGCGGGGGGAATGCCTAATCTCTGATTTCCTTAGGAAACCAGTTTAAAGGTGACTTTGCATCTACGTAAGTACTTTGGTTTTCCAAAGAGCTATGTTCCTGGGAGACTTTGGCCCAAGGTGCTAAAAAATGCTGACCTCTGCAACCAACCAGAAAGAAGATACTGGAAGTCCTGGGGTATCACCACCTGCCTTTGCCCTTAATTATGTATTTTACATCACCTATTCCTTGATACAGGGTCATTAAGAGTAAAGGAAATCTGGAGAAAGTGCTCATTTACATTAATGCAGACTTCTCACACTGTAGTTTGGCTACTTGATGTGTGTCATGTTTAGATATCTCACAGGACTCTTTAGAGGCTCAGTAAGCATTAGCTACGAATTCCATTTCAGCTTCTTTCCCCGCCACAGTGGAGCTGGCAAGAGAAAACTACCAGTTGGAGGAAACTGGATAAATGAGCAGCACAAAAGCAACCCAACACATGCAGCAGAGGAGCCTGAAGTCTGTTTGCTCTGAGAATTTTAAATGTGGCAACACTGACAGCATTAAGCGGGGTTTAACACCTCATGACCTTGCATACAGCCATGCAGACACCGCCTACCCCGAGAGCCTGCAGACCACAGTTACCCCGTCAACCCCTCATCAGGAGACACAGGACCCCATCCTCAGGACACACCTGGGACTGCTTCACGATGGCAGAGCCTTTCACAGCTCATCCTACACATTCCATACGTGCAACATGCACGCGCACACACATACCAACTCCCTTCCCACTGAAGCAAGCGGGGCCCTTGAGCCCTAAGAGCTCCGGGTGAGCTGATGCAGTGCTGGCATGGGTGACCTCCAGCCAAACAGACTGCTGGTGGCAGGGAGGAGGAATTCACAGCAGGACACCCTTCTCTCCCACTTAACTGTAGTTGATCCAAGGACATTTGCAGCAGAAAGGTGCGCCCGGCATAGGAATGTTTGTGCTTGCAAGGAATTACAGTTATTTTCTAATTCTGGAAGAATTTGTGAAGAGCCAGCACATAAAGCGCCACCTCACTCCTGGTATGCTAGCTTCAGACTAATGCCTCCTTCAGGAAGCAAAATGACAATTGCTTCTGGGATATACTGGCAGAGCCTAACTGGCGTAATTAATACCAGCCAGCACACTTTATGGAATAAACATTTTATTTCAATGAGATTACTGCGTTGACTTGATACACTTAAATTTTCCAAGGTGTTTTACCTTGCAGTCTGTTGTAAGATCTTGCATTATGGAAGTTTTAATAGGATAGACATGTTATGAATAAACACTCTCCCCAGTGACAGGTCTTCCGAGTTCTGTGGTTGCTAATGAGATCATGAGAAATGTGTGGGTCTGTTTTACCAACACCCCCAAGATGCAGTCCTTGCTGCAATACTGTTTCGTTTGACTGCCCGCTATCTAGACAACAATGCCAAACCTCTGCAGGCAAACTCAGCGGATGACTCACAGGCTATAGGGTAGTAAAACCTAAGGAGGATGGGTCATCCTTACAGAATGATCTGAAATGTCTGGTTAATTGTCACAAGACAACAAAAATGCATTTTTGTAGAAGTAAAAACTGGGTACTGTCTCTGGGGAGAGAGCGTTAAGTCATACCATCAGGGTGGGACGCTGACCTGTGCCTCCTTATAGATAATCTGTGTCTGTCGCCACTCCAAGGAGCTTGAAAGACAAAGATAAGCAAAGCAGGCTCGTTAGTAACGGAGAGCTACCTAAAAAAGGTGCTGAGGGAGAATGGGAGCCACTGTGACTGAGACAAAGCTCAGCCCAGACACTGACACATGGAAAAGGCGTCAGATGCCAGCCGAAGCGGCAGACAGTGGAAACTAGGCAATTCTTAAAATACAGGCTCTAAGTCTGTGTGTTGCCAGCTATAAATACTGGCCTATTTTACCCTGGAATTCTGAAAAACCCCACAAATATCCTTTCTCCCCCGTTCTTCTCCCAGTTTTTCAACAAGCTTTTAGTGCTTGAGTTCAGGTAGGGGAAGCAGAGAGGACATTAACACCAGCCAGGACTTGATGCTGAGAAGAAACATGCCCTCATTACACTTTGAAAGGTCAAAAAAAGAAAAACAAAAACCCCAAACCAAAAAACCCCCAAACTGTTTATAGATGTGAAGAAGAAATTACTTCCCTACAGCAGGTCAGGTTGGCATGGACTCAGCAAGCGGGCTGTCTGACCTCTGCAGTAAATTACATGGATTGCCAGCAAGGATCATGTGGCTAAATCTCAGAAATCAAGTCCCTGGGACTTTAACTTCTGTGCCTGGCATAATTTAATCTCCAGAAAGGGTAATACCTTTGTTCAGCCTAAAACCCTTGGCAGGGGAACACGAGGTATTTCACTGTAAAGCTGATCAATTTCCCTCATTTCCAGCTCTGAAGATCTTTGCAACAGAGCCCGAGTGACAGGACAGTTGGCTGGACCTGGGCATTCAGAACAGCCCAGAAGCCCCAAGGACTTACATTTTCAAAAGCAATGCACGATTTCCAGGAAGTTAAATACGCAAGGCCTCAGATTTTCTAGAAGTGAGCCTGGTACCTCCTGGTAAAGTCAACCCAAGCAATTTTCTAAATGCACTGCTTCCTCCTGAAAATATGGCCTGCTACATTCTTACAGACTTCACTCACGCACACAGTGCTGTCCCCTTTCCCTTCATATGTTTTAAACTCTAACCCCCAACCATGAATGGCAAACTAATGTATCTCAGATGTCTCCTTTTTGGGAAAAAAGCTTTCAGGCTTTCACAGGAAGTGCAACCCTCCCAAAAACCCTGTACCCAGGAAACATGTTGCACATGCTTAGAGTTCCGTGCTCAGAGTAACTCATTATGCCATTCAGCCCGACGCCCTTCACTGCATGGGCTATTTGGAAAGAAATCTCAGGCCACCTGGAAGCGTTTCACTGGTGCAGCTATGGAACCCCAAACAAGTCCCAGATTTCATTTTCTATTCAGCGCTACATGGGTTATTTTGAGACCTTAACGGCCATTGGGCAACAAGCACAGGACTGTTCACCCCACAGAGCAAAATTAAAGTAACACAGCTGTCCACTTCAAAAGCCTTCAACCCAGGCTCGAAACACAACAGCAGCAGTCTGTGGGCTAAACAGGAGAAGGACTTACCACGAAATGCACAGGAAATCAGCGGTGAAGATAAGCATTGACGTTTCCCCAGCGCCGAACCAGTACCCTACCTTCTAATCCCAACAGCTCCTTGAATGCTGTGCGCTCACCAGTACGCTCAAACCAGCTTCAAACTCTACAGGAGCCTCGCTCATTACCTGCTGCAGGCTACAGCCGAGGGCTGCGAGTCCAGCAGGGCACAGAGGTGGCTCATTTCACACACGACAACAGCTCTGACAAGGCAAGGATGGCCAGACCTGCCTCGCTAGGGAGGGTCGTGCAAGGGGTTAATCCTAACTCCCAGCTCCAGGGAGCAGAGTGGTGCTTTGCTCCTGCACTCAGCACCCAACTCCAGCACCTGAAGGACCTGTGAATCCTGCCCTCCCCTGCTCACCAGCCACAGGAGAGAGCAATTAAGACAATATTCACATGCCTGCTTTGTTCCCTCAGCTTCTGGCTCCCCAGGGGTGGGGGAAAGAACATTTTTGGATCAAAACACTTTTCTGATCTGACTTTCCTTCTGAAAAGGCTTGGTTATCTAGCATTAAGGTCCTGTTTCTCCCTTTCCCCTCTATGCCCCTGTCCATCAAATCCAGCAAGTAAGAAGCATGTGGAAAGGAACTCATGCCACCGCTGCTTCCCACAGGTCATTAATGTCATTTTGGTCTCAGCCCTGTATAACAATGTTGTCCCCATCTTGGAGGGCCATTAAAACAGTAGATTAGCCAGCTAGCAGTCCTTGTGGATGTCTGATTTCCTGGGTTTCCTTTGGGAAGGCCCAAAACTTTACTCTTCTCTTTCCATACCGTGCCACATCTGTACCGTTTGGCAAAGGGTTTAACACCTTTTGCAGATGGCTTCATGGCAGACGGCTTTACTAAGGCTCAGCAAGAATTAGCCATCTGCTGACAACTGGAAAAGGTCTTACGAATAGCAGGGCTCCCACCATTTTATACTCTCTGTTGACTCAAATGTTCTTGAGCTTATGGGCCACAAACTTTCCTTAACCAACGATGGCAGTTCCCATTTTTTAAACTTCCAATCTCTTCCCTACCACAGCAGTTTCTGGAACAAAGCTGAGTCGTGGCCATAGTCCAGAGATTAAGTTAATGGTCTCCTCCTACCTGTCAGCCAAGGGTGCAAGGATATACTTCCACGAATCTTCCAAGCAATCATTCAGCAACACTTCCATGCGATGGCTACCATTAGCTGACCAGTCACACCCACACCTCAGAAAGCACTGGTCCTTCTCTCTGTAATCTTAGTGACTCAGTTATGCTACGAAGCACCCTGAATATGTACCAGTGTAACTGAGAAGAAAATTTGGTCAAAGGGACACATTTTCTATTAAAATAGTGGTGTTTATTACGAAGATGCACAGTCAGTATCTTCGAACTTCTGTTCTGCTGCTTCTTGCATTCTTAGCAACATGCTTTAGTCTGTCCTTCATGTGGTTGTGAGACACTCGGGAACTGTTTATGTGTTGATATATAATTATTATTATTACTATTGGACTTTAAATATTGAGAGACTTCAAAGTTTCCAGGTGAAATGCTAAGTCTTCACATCTTGGGCCAGGCTTTTATGAGGGACTCAATTTTTGGAGGTACACCTAATTGCTAGCATAACTAATTGCTATAAGTGTGCATATCCTCCATGAGGAAATCTTAGAAGCAAGCTGAGAGCTGGAGGGCTGAGCTGTTTTATGTCAACAGGCAGTAGGACTTAGAATGAGTGTTTTGCAGATCTTTCATCTGTCACCTCCCTGCATCTCCTAGATCATTCCTATATGAAAGGAACAAGTCACTGGACTGCTCCTTGCCTCCGAAAGCTTACTTGGACATAACTGCCCCTCCATGAGGTTTGAGCCTTCCAACTATTAGTCTGTTTAGATTTCTCTTCAATCATGCAGCTGGCTCCCTGAAATGAAAACTGGTAACTAAGAAGAGAAGCCCTCAAACGCTTTAACATGGCCACAGCCACCACCACGTATTGCAGAAAAGTGGCTTTTCCACACAGGGTTCCTTTCAGGTGTTTGCTGTTGACATTTTGCCTGTCGATTCAGCGCGTGGTGACACCCAAGGCTGAGAGGTGTCCATGTTTCCAAAGAGGGAGCATTCAGAAGCAGATGTGGAACTGATGCCCCTTCAGCTCCTCTGCAACACTTTCTCCATGACCTTTTTGAAGCTATTCAATGCTGGGTCTTTTCAGGGTAGTTATGGGCTTAAAGAAACAGGAACAAAGTGGTGGTTTCTGAAGCTTCTAAATACTTTGAGAAATCACACCAGACTGCCACTCATATCTTGAAAATCCAGCCTTTCATCTTTGCCACTTATCCTCAGTTTAAGATGGGGACATGCAGAATAACAGAGACACTATTATTCCACAGCCTCATCACACAAGAGAGAGTAAGAGTACCAGAACAAGACAGAGTAATCTACTGCTGACTGCAGTGTTCAGACATGATGGGGGACAAAGGCCAGAAGAGGAACAAAAAGGGGCCCGGACCAACCAGTTTCTAGGAAGGAAAGATGAAAGACTCACTCCAACTGCCACTGAAGTGAGTGGAAAGACTCTCATCTCGACTTCAATGGAAGCTAGATGAAGGGCTTGTTTATGTTTACCTTTGTGAAGCACAAGGCCTGGATGCAAACCTGCAGGTAGGCCTGGGAAGTGTCAGAATCTGACATAAAGAGGGGTTCACGGCAGATGGAGAGGGCAAGAACAGGATTTCTAATCTGGTTGAAAAGCAAAATGCTACACCCCCAACAGAGCACAGAAATTTATATACAAAACTTCAGTGGGAAGTAACGGAAGCAGCATCTGACTCACAACTTTTGTGGAATCTAGTGCAGCTGGCATTCAGGACTAATTATGCTGAATTAGCCCAAGCTATAATGCCCCTTGGCTGGGGGGAGGCGGGGGGAGAGCTACTCTCGCAGCTCTATCTGTAAACCAAGTCCCTTCAGCCTGCTGAATTATAAAGTGCACCAGTAAATATGCTGTACAACCAAGAGCATTAGACAGGTCTGGTGAGCTATCAGCCCACGGGACAATTTTATTGACCCCTCCTCCTTTCACTCCCCCACCCCAGCCCCATGCAACCGGACTGGAACATCATTGTAAGAAAAACAGCAGAGGCAGAGAGAAGGCAGATCCCTATCGAATTCAGCAGCAGTGAGAGACGCTGCCCCATGCAAACTTGCCTGTGTTAGCCTGGCCTTCTTCAGACACCTGCCAGGGACTGGGAATGTCCCCTACACATACAGAAGCTGGCTACGCCGGAATGAGATGGGTAATACATCTGTCATGTCCTTGACTGATGACTGACCAGATGGCATGTTCCAGCAAGAGCATCACCAGCCAGAAGTTAATTTCAGCCTTTCATTAATACCCAGGAAGCAATGCACAGCAAAGAAATCTACGGGGTAGGGGGGGAATAAGAAAGCTGTTTATTAGCAGATAATAAGATTACACCAGGAATTTCTAGAGGACCTTAGTCTGGTTTTTACAATGAAGAACCAGAAGGTACACTAGGAGACACAAACCTAGAAGAGAATGAAAACACAACAATGCATTTCATTTTGCTCATGTGAGTAACCCCTTTGAAGTCTAATGACCTACGTATATGAATACCTGAGCATGTGCAAGAGAAGGGCACTAATTTGCACTTTCTTAATACTATTTCATCTGTAAAGCCAGCAGTTACAGCAAAAAGCCTCATATTTAACAGGACTGCCTGCCTATACAATCACCCTACTTGTATGAACAGCGACTAGAATCCCATTTCCAAATTAACTACAAAGTGTAGGCTTCTTCTATTTAGTTTTAAGGTAGGGCTTTAATGCCCCATATATCAAGCTAAGCAGATTGTTGCTGGTTTTTTTTTTTTCTGATGTTGCTTTTTTATCTCTCTCAATGCTGATGGTGTAAACCACTAAACTATCACTCAGTGACACATTCCCAGCTGGGATGAATGGATATGAATCCCCTGACCAGTAAAACTGTGATAATTCACATCAGCAGATGCTCCAGCCCTTGCAATATCCTCTGTTGCCCCATTTCAAAAAGCAAATTAATGGTTCCGTTTGTCTGCCCCCTGCACTCTGAACAGTGTCCGATTCTTATTTAGGCTTAGCCTTCCTTCGAGCGGTCTGACTTTGCAAAGAGGTCTCCAAGGAAAGTGGAGTTTCCAAACCTCACAGTCTTTGTTTCAGTTCCTCCAGAGGGTCTGCAAAACATCAGCGTCATCTGAAACTCACGCAGCAGCCAGCATGCCGTAGTGGAGAAGACTGAAACATCTGTAATGTACTGCTTTTATGGGGTGCTGACAAAACCTGCAGAGGAGTTACTGGGAGACCTGGAAAAGTTTAAAATAGTATCTGAAATGTAATTATGCAATGCAAACGGTTCCATGCTTTAGCTTGAAGGTCACTGTATCTTTATCAGACACTTCAACAATAATAAAGGCCTCTTAAAACAAAAGCCCTACTCAGAAGGGCAGTTGGGAAAACTGGTGTAGCTACCTGAGATATCCATCAGCAAATAAAAGAACGGCTCAATAATGGCTATTCATCCAAAAATGTTGGATGGGCTCAGGCATTCAATGTGAAAAAAAGTGTCCACAATGGCACATGGGGAACTGATGGTGACAAGTTCATATGTCACCGAGGATTTAGGGCTCTGTTCTAGGATTTGGGTTTTTTGCTAAGCTTCTGAAGAGAATTTTGTTTCCTAAGAAGTTGTATCAATGAGATTGATATATTCAAGAATGTTGTGGTCTTATCTACCCATTATAGCCACCTCCAGTCCTCCCCCAAACCTATTAAACAAATTTGACTGGGACAGAGGTTTGCACCCCTAGGAGTTTAATAGCTAAAGACAACTTCATCATGCTACGGAAAAGCAGACTGTCACGCAGGCTTATCCCTATGCAGTTAGAAACCAAAAAATTCACAAGAGAATGAGAAGTTTTATAAACATCTCAGCATAAATAAAAGTTCCATGAGGGCTCAATGTGTATCAAGAGCCACAAACCCATACGTAGCCAGGCTTTATTATTTCTGGCACTCAAAGGACTACTTGGTGGGGGTTGTTCTGCCTTTTATTTGGACAAGTAAAACCCACTTCCCCCAGTTTATTATTTTACTGCAGTATGTGCACTGAACTTATCACCAAAGACAGCTTGACTTCCTGAAGACAGACTCATTCATGTTCACATGACAAGCAGAGTATCCAAACAGGCTGCAGCGTCTTACAAGAAGGGTAATTATCAGTCTACATCAGATCTAAAGCAGCCTAGTACTTGACTTCAGCACTGCCAGCTGCTTCAGACGACAGCAGAGATGATCCAGGCTAACCTAGTGACAGGGGTACAGATTGGGCTATGTGTCGGTTGACCTGGTTTTGACAAGCGATCTTGTCCTTTGTTATAGTTACTAAAAATTCCCATAAAGCTAATTTCTAATTACATTTTTTCTGAATTTTTTTCTTGCCATGAGTGATGGAAGTCACCAGTGCTGAAGTGACAACAAACGATCTAGCTGCCAGAAATTTAACATGAGGGGTCCACTTTCAAAACAAGTTTTCCAGACAATGAAGTCTGTCTAAAGAAACCGAATACCTACCAAAATCCCCATGAAGGCTGAGGTGCCATTTGGGCACTGAAAGCCCTCCACTTGGTGTGAACCATAAAATTAAACTTCTATTCAAGCCGAGGTGTCATTCAAGCACCTCACACAAAACCCCACCTAGTTAGGTATCACACAGGTAAACCCCTCACAGGCTGACACCACCACCTATAGATCAGCTTGTTCCTCATGGGAGCAAGATTTCCACAATAATTACAGGAGGCCTTCAGGGACAAGGGGAGTTGTAACATAACAGGGTCCTTTACTATATGCTATGGTGCAATATAGCCTTTGGCCAACTGATGTCATTCACACTTCCATTTTTATTTAGGCACCACCATCTTTTTTGTAAGGCAAGACCAAGATGCAACAGAGAGGTGATTTCGGGGACACTAGGGTTATTTTGGACAGGGAGGTTGAGAAAAACTTACTCTTCCCCCCTCATTTTATCTGTTACACCTTCAAGTCACCACAGAGCCTCCACTTATTGTCAGTGATTGTTTCAAAAGTGATCTCCAACACTGGATCCAGAAGGGATGGAAAAAAGAAAAGCAGTTACAAGTTTTTTAATTTGCTAATACAGTCAAAGAGACGTACAGAAAACACAAAAAGTCTAAAAAGCAGACAAGACTATTTTCAGGCTCTCAGACTGGCATCAAGGAGTAACCTAATGGTGTGGAAGATTTATTCCTATACTGTCAGTGTACCTGGAGTCCTTCACAGCACCAAGTACACTGTTCTCATTCAAACAGCAGCAGTATCGTTATTTGTTTTCTCTGTCAGAAAACCCTGTACAATATGACACTGTCTGGTCAGCAGATGGCTCATTTGTTTGCACTGAGTACCCATCCAATGCGTGGCTTGTTTCTCTCAGTTACTGCCTCCTTCTCAGTCTGCTCAGGCTCAAATCTGGACAGAGCCCAGGCAGGCAGGCGCTCAAAATGTAGACCTCCATTCAGGAACACAGCAGAGTGCTCCCTTAGCCTAAACGTTTCCTTCCACATCCACTGCGGAAAGTTCCATTCACTGGTTTGTCAGGACATTTTTAGCACTCAGGAATGAGCTCAAACAATTTATACACTTGGGATAGCTCAGACTGTGTGCATTAGCAAGAGAGACAGGCTTGAGAAGCAAATGATTTCTTCTATTTTCTCACAGCTAGAAAGGTGCATGGTAACTTCAGGACTGATAATGAGGGGGTCTTTTGAAGTGAAATAGTAAACAGATGGTTACAGCACCTCATTCGGCCCTGTCATCCCACCATAGGAATGCCTCCTTCCACCCCCAGTCTGCTCTTAATTGTTGAGAGATTATTAGGTGACAAACCTCTGAGAAGCTTCCACATGAACATTCCTTTTCACATTGCCTTTTTTTCACTGAACAAAGCACTTCAGTAGCATGGAGACCAAAGCCATTCAGCCTTAAAGGATCAGGAGACATTTTAGCAAGCATCTCCCAAAACCCAATGCATTACTTTTGTGGATGAAATGGAGCTGTGACCTCCTTGCTCCTAAAAGTCTTGATAACACTTATGCTGTTTTACACCTTGCGGATTGACAGGCTGATTCAGGATAACGAGAGCCCCATTTTTCAATGTAGACAGCTGGAATGTACAAGTTCTGAAGCATAAAAACCTGAGAAGACGTGACAGAAGTAGTCGCTGCACAACGGTAAGTGGTGAAAGACTGGTTTTGTTTCTAAATGTTCAGTACCAGCCGTTACAAGAAGTAGGACAGGTTTCCACTTTTTCCCAACTTCTACCCAACGAAATAACTTGTTGACAGATAAAATTAATTCTGTTTAGAAATGCCACTGTGCTACCTCTCCCTTAGTCATCAATGTTACTAGCCGAACTTAAAGATATCCCAACAAAGTGAGTGGGACCTACCTTGTAATTCCATCATGACAGTCCCACAGTCAGAGAATATCAAGGGAAATGACATCTAGCTAGACACCAACCCAGAGCAGAAAACAGAACAGCAAGCAATGGCTTGTGCATTTGCTTTGCTCCACACTCACCAGAATGGTCTGAAAACCCAACACACTGGCACACTGTGAAAGCTTACCCTGTTTCTTCCACCAGAACAATCTTAGCACATTTCTGTCCCTGTTACAGCCTACAGGGACTCCACTATGCAATTTCTCCCACCGTCTCACATTTCACCCAAGGGACTCAACTGGTTTTCTCCTCGAGGCAAGTCTACGTTGTTATCCTTGAGTCAAAATTAAAAGTAAAGAACAAGTCTGTGTTAATGGAATAGACAGACTTAAATCACTTCAGGCATTATCAAAGCAATTTACTGCGAAGCCCTACAGAGGGCTGCGGACATTCCAAGATAGGCTGGACTAAGGAGGAAGGCCAAACAGAGGGTTGCAGACATTACAGGATAACATGGACAAGACAGAAGGAAACTGGGTGAAAGCTAATTCCAGCAGGGGGAGAGATTGCAACCACCGACCCAACTGAGGAATGAAACAAGTACCCCCACACACTCCTCATATGCAGGCACAGTGAATTAAAAGAACGCTATAGCTTTAATAGGTAGATAATTAGACTGTCAAGCGATGAAGATGAGTGTGCAAAGACAGGCTAGTGAATACGTATTAGCTAGGTGTGGAAAATATATTTATGATGTATAAATAAGGGAGTAAATCTAAGCTTGATGTGCTTGATTTGTGGAAATATTCCACCCTGCACTCGGTGCCAAATAAAGCAGTATCTCCTCTCTAAACCCATCTTGGTTTCCAGAGTTTTCATTTCCAGGCAACAACTGAAACCTGTATGGTATTTATGGCTTATTCTACTCATTTCTTCCAACGCAGACAGAGTGAACAAGAGTGTTGAGCTGTATAGCTGATCTGAAAACAGTAAGGGCTTTCTAATAACATTTTCTAAAATTACTTCAGTCTTTACTTTTTAGAAAATTCATCTGGATGATCTGCTTAATCCCCACATGCACACCCCCTATGCTTTTTGGGAGGGCTTTTGCCTCTTGAAAAGAAGATTTTTCACAAACTGTAATAGAAGCTTTTAACTGGAGGAGAGATGGGAAAGTAAGCCCCTTGTGGAAGCAGTGTTTCTGAAAATATACAACTGTGCAGTTGCTTCCATAGCAGGTAAAGGAGGCCAGACAATTTTACAGTAAATAATACAGAAATGCATAGGGCACTTATATGATAAGCCATTCAAAAATCCTTTTTTTCAATTTATGGCAATGTCACATATCATCGGATAGGAATTGTCAGCTAACTCTACCTGATTCTGCAACCTGTTTTCCTCACACATCAGAACCCAAGAAAGACATTTAAGCCTAATCTATTTTGTGTTGACATCACTGATGAATTTTTGAGTGTCAGCCAAGCTTGCTTTGTTCATTTCTACAGGTCTGTTTAAAATATGAAGAGACACAGGATGAAGGTGGCAGAATTGAGTATTCAAGTGCTCTTTAGTCAGCCTCTACACTTAAAAAACAAACAAACAAAAGAAAGGACAGGATATGGAAACTGAAGATAAGCCTTCATAGAAGTTATGTCCCCACCAGAATGTTAAGGTTGCATGACCGAAATACTTGAACCTCCTGCTCAAAACAGGGTCAGCCACAGGATGATACCAGAATGCTCAGGGCTCAGGACTTGATAACCTCCAAGGATGGAGAAAACACAACCACTAGGGGCAACCTGGTCCAACATTTGACTTGAATCTTACTTCATTATATTAAGAATAACATCCTCCATTATTCAAATAAGCTTAAGACGCAAATGACCCTGAAACAAAAAATGCAGCACATCCATCTGCCAATCCGACCATGAAGTTAAGGTTGCCCATATGAAAAACTGATTCAAATTCCATCCCTTCGTGGTTCACAGATGGTGGTCAAAATCACACAGCCTTCCCACTTCATTTAAAGCAGCAGCTTATAATTGTTATAGGATATTATCCTTCAAGCAGAATAGCAATGAGAACAAGATGACAGAAACTTTGTAGCCTTCACAGATATTTGCTGACAGCAGAGGACAGGGGATGCTCCAGATTCTCAGGACTCATCTCCAGAGTTGAATGTGCCACAGCTTGGTGATTCATACCCTGTGATCTGTACAGTGTCTGCAAGCAGGCCCACAAACTGCTGCCAAACAGAAACGGAACACCTCAAAATAGTATAGAAGCAGGGAGAAAAAAGTGAGGAAAAAATAAAATTAATAAAAATGCTGTCAAGAGAGAGCTCAACTTTTATATACTTGTAAATGAAAGTTATTGTAGCAGCACAATAGTGTCTCATTTGCTTTTGTCTGGTTTTAGTCAAGTAGATCAAAAACTCTGCCTCTTTTAACCAAAGCCTGATTCCCTGTGTTCTCTTCCTTTCCACTGGTCCTGTCCAAACTTCAAGCCTGCAGACTTCAAATGCTCTAACTTCTCACAGTAGTCAAGAACAGCAACCCGTCCATGCCTACATGTGGTCTGTGCATGAATGATAAAATCAGGATATTCAGAATAGGTCAGATAATTGTTTATGCACAGACCAGAAACATTAACTTGCTACATTCAAGCTCTCAAATTTGTTGACATGGGCATGACGGATATAGCCAAGACTTCCAGACTTCATGCATCACAGGAGCTCTGCCTGGGCACTGAACATTGGAAGCCAAAGGAAGAAAAAACCTCAACTCTCATAATTTTTCCTCTTCCTGGCCCCAAGCACATAGGGAAAAAAAAAAAATACCACATTGAAGAACATCTAGATATCTAGTACCTCTGCTCAGTGAAATGAATTTGAACTTTGAAAAAAAAAATGCACCCCCCTTACCCCCAGTATTATCTTCCAAAACAGCAGAATTGGGTTTTATCTGAAACATATCCCAAACAAACCCCCAAACAACAACAAAAAAAGACAGTCAACAGGCAGACACAAAAGCGTGGAAAGTTTCCTTCCAGATCGCCTAAAGCTGAAAAGTTAGAAAAAACTGATCAGAGGATCTTAGAATAGAGGATGTAAATCAAAGTTTCAGTTAGTGAAGTTAGCTTTCTAAAAAGTCACAGAATGGCAAGTATTTCCAAAGCCTTCATCCTACCTCCTTTGTAATCATTACTTCTTCTGAGTGTAATTGTTAGTACTTTACACTATTTAAGCTGCTCAGATCTGCCAAACAGTCTGTACTAATCAAGCATAGGACCAAATTCTAGTCTATTCTCTCAGACGAACTCAAATAACTGTGTTTCCCACCTCAGGCTCTCCAAAGTTTTATTTGCTCTCAGATTTACATATTCAGATTTAGGATAACAGACTCTATCAAGAAGTAGCATATATTCTGGCATTGAGGTTACATTCAGTTAAGTGATCCAATTTTGAGTAGAAGCAATAACTTAATTCCAACCCTGATAGTGCAAGCTGCATATACTTTCATGTGTCTACAAAAACCCTCACATAAACAACTGAGAGGTTTCTTGGGGTATCTACCCTCTCTAGCCACCTTATTTGCATGTTGTTAGACTTTCTAACCTAGGACTTAAACTCTACAGTCTGAGCAGAGCTTCACAGACCACTATAATAACCTGTAATAGACCACTGTAATTCATAGACCACTATAGTAAACTGGTAACATTTCATCTTCTCTTGCCCCAACTGCAAAATTAATCACTTTGTCCCTTTGTCCCCTCTTCTCACGGTCACCCTGTAAACCAGCCACACAAGAAGCCTGGTCAGCTTTGTGTGACCTTTATCTACTCTTCTGTAGCTGCTAATTTAACTTGACCACTGAACTGTTCATTCTTCATTTTCATCTCCCAAGCGTAGTTCAATCCACAAGTACAAAATCTGAGTGTTAACGTGAAGACAAGCAACACTATGGCTGAGGTCAGAGGTGGCAAGCAGGATTAAAACTAAGCAACCTATACTTCCATCTGATTAAGGCCACTGCGTAATGATGACCCTGCTACTGTTTCTACTAAAGAAAAAAAAAATTGCAGCCCTTTTCAGGGCACTGGAGTGCCTACAAACACACAAGACTGGAGAGTAACAGAATCCAGTAAAAGGTAAGTTTACAGAAAACTTCATTTGTCTCAGCGTTCTAAACTACTTGTTTTCTTCTTGCCATAAGCAAAACTCCCAAGGAGAAGCTACATAAGAAGAGGGACAAAAACAATCTTCCAGACACTTGTAAAATATACTAATTGTTCCATGCAGGCTATGGAGGTGATGTGACAGCCAGGTAGAGAGAATTTTTTCAGCTGGAATGAGTAATATGATGACAAGCTTGCAGTTTCTCCACCTACAAATCAGAATCATTCAAATATCATCTTACCACTAAGACACCTATTTATGTAAGCACAGGCTTAATCACTTAGATATAAGGCATTCAAAAGGTATTATCAGGGCATGTTAAGGCTTATTAAGGCTTAATACAGCATTCTAAAGACACCACAAACTCCAGCAGTGCAGCAATGAAAAGAAACTGCAGCACCAGCCATCTTCAATTTCAAAATCTAAATACACAGAAAATGGCAGAATTCTGCCCATGCACAAGAAGAAGCCCCATTAGTCAAGCCTATTTTTCTTGCCACACTACCTTCCAACAGGGTGTATTTCTCTCTCATTAAAAACACCACTTTATCTCTGCCACCTGATGGTGGATTGCTACAGTGCATTGACTGATACCGTGCGTCAAATGTATGACTTCAGCCTCACTTTGCACCAGTATGCCTAAGTAATGTGACTCTTCCCCCCAAAAAAGGCAAAGGTCTTATCATCTCATGAGTGACCTTCTCAATTCTCCTTGCTTGCATTCTTTAAGCAGTATAGGATATACCATCCACAAGTGACAAAGCTGACTCTCTACTCAGCTTGCAAAGCAACAGATCCTTTCCAACAACTCTGAAGCAGAGCGAATTCTGAACTGAATTCGGAACACAAGGCTACCCTCATTACCAGCAGCAGCTGACAAAGCCACCATTAAATGCTATTTACATGTCTCTCCCACAGACAGTCATGCCAAACAGTTGTATTCAGCAATAATAGCTCTCCATTCTGCTATCCCGCATGTGAGCAAAAGCACCACTCTTGTTCACAGCAAACCAAGTTTCAGTGGTTTAGGAATGTCAATTTGCCACTGATTTTGAACAGCAACCTAGGCACAGGAAATGACACAGATGCTAGTATATGTAAAATGTGCTTTGATTAGAACTGGGGTTAAATTGTGTGTTACTTGTTTTTCTTGCCTAGCCAAAAAGTATTCCTCATTATCAGGAAGGAGGAAAGAAGTAGAGTGCTAACAAGACCCAAGACGGTTAATGTCTTTTTTTTTCCTTGCAGATCACATATCTGTGAGGAACTATATAAATACAGCACTGGTGCTTGACAATTAGAAGTCAGCAGCATCAGCTACAGTCCACAGCCACAGATTGCAATCATCAGCAATGCTGATCAGTCATCTATTTTGTGGTAATTTTATAATTAAATTATTCCTGTACAACATTTCATCACAGGTAGAATAAGCCTACTTTTCTGCATAGTCTAGTGAAGTCACAAAATTTTGTAGTTTGTGGCTTGATAACCGCATAGCTATAGTTTCAAAATAATGTTTAGCAGAAGATAGTGCGTTGAACACTTTGTTGGCATCCCAAACCAGGCAAGGAAGAAGAACTAAAAAAGTTACTGACAAAGATGTTCTCTCTTCACTCCCACCTTGTTGTTTCCATTGAATTATACAGTATTTTCAAGTGCAGAAACTCTAGGTTAGTTTTGTGCACAGAGCTGGGCTTGAAAGAAATCAGAAAAAAAAATTAAACATGAACATGCCTGCCTGCAAATCTCTGTAAAACCAACTGAAATATACAATGAAATCACAGGTGACAGATCTGCTTACATTATTTGAGGACTTGGCTTTGTGTCTCCCAGTTTCATTCATTCACGTGTATTACTGAGATAAAGCTCAATCTGACACTTCAAAATCAGAGCCACAGTAATTAAAAGTGTTAAAGTATTAAAAATAAATAGCTTTTCACTAAGTAGATACTTATTAGTTTTAGTTTTACAACAAAGGTAAGGACTCTGGTACGAAAACTTAGGAAGAAATACTTGACTTTCTTAGCAACTGTTCACAAAGCCGTGAGAAGACTGCTCCTCAAATCCCTGAGAGACCTGCAGCAAACAAGCTGAAAAGCACTTTGTGCAAACAGTACCTAATGGTACTTGGAAGAAAACAAGGCACAGCATACCTAGGCAACCTATGCAACTTGTTCAGATCACACTTACCTTCTCAACACCATACAAGTTCCATGCAGTCTTCCCTTTTGGCAGCAACTACAAAGAGATACATGGCAAGTATCCCACTATTGAACAGATAACAGTTTTTGCTAGCATGTAAGGTCAGACACGTGTTGTTCATCAGAAGTCACACAAACACTGTTCCAATGCTGAAAAATGGGAACAGAATTTCTAGTAAGGCTTCAACCACAGCAGCTATAAACGGCTCAGTCACTCACCGAAGTTACAAATGACCAAAGCTACTAGCTTTTTTACAAAGACCAAGCTCAACAGCCTTTAATTCAAATACATTTATAATAAGCATACATCTCAGAATCAAAATTGGAGGGAGTAGACCGGAACACCCACAAACATTCTTGCTTTAGTCTCCATCCTCCTAGAGGAGGAATGGTTATTTCTGATAGTGGTTTGACCAGTACAGAAGACTCCCACAGACTAAAAGCTTTTATCTTATGTTAGGCATAAGCTAAGTAGTAAAGTACATTCAAGAAGTCCTTGTATCAATTTGGCATTTTTCAAGCATCTGGCAGCTGGTCCTTTTACAGATAGCAAATATCCCCTTTTTGTCTGTAGAGTGTTAAATCAAAATCCACCTCTTCCAGTCCATAAATATACTGAGAATCCTATTTAGCTGAAGTCTACTGGCTGACTCAGGTATTAATGTTAAATTCTCTAAAATGAAAGCATTATGAAAGACTTATTTTCTATTTAGCGATATCATACCTCCTTACTGATAGTTTTGGGTTGTCCTACTGATGACTTACACATTATACACCTACAAAATTTGAAAATAATAAAATCTGAATAATTACAATACATGCTATCTGGAAACACATCACAGATGTCTAAGGAGAGAAAGAAAAAGTAAAAGGCTTTAATACATTTCACTATTTTGTGCGGATAATTATTTAACAGACTATGTCCAACCAGTAAAGAAACCAACCTTTCAGTCTTTTTTGCTCTCTTTTCTCAAGACACTTGACTTGTACTTTGAGCTTAAGCAGTAGTTAAGTAGTTAATCCACTGATACACAACCTAAGCAGAAAATAATCTTTAGTTGTACCACTAAATCATTAATATCATTAGTGATACAACAGCTCAGTGCTGGACCAATAATAATATTTTCTTGGTTACTGTAGAGATAAATTTGTAGCCAGGTAATTGGAGTACAACAGTAAAAACTCAAAACATCCCCAAGTTGTGTGCAGGAAATGCTGCACATAATAGCTTTAGATTAAATCAGAATTTGTTTTCATTGCTACCATTGCCATGATGGCAAAATTGTCTCTAAAAGTCAATGTATATTAAAAAAAAGATTATTACATTTTATGATGACTAAACAAAATAAATTACAAGTAAGATTCAAAACTCTATAATCAGAGCTTATTTTCAACAGAAAGGTATGAGTGCAGATTCTTTTGGGTTGGAATAACTTGACTGCTTGCTTGGTATCTCAAGTTATGAACCTCTCTTCCTCATAAAGTGCATGAATCCAAAAATGTCCTTACTGAACAGAAATAGCTTGATTGTTACAAATACTCAAGAGCAACAGAATGGCAATATCTTCAGATGCTTACAACTGTATTGTAAAGCTGGTTCAACAAAGGTAGGAAGGTGAAATTTGATTTGATAAAGTCTCATTGCAGTGGACAAAAATTTGCTGACAGAAGAATAATATTCAGTTCACAAGAGCGCATATAACAAAACCAAACATGCAATCTATTGCTTTTAAAACTTTTACTGCAACATAACATTGAAGTGAACAGTAATTAGATATCTATCATTTTTTTCCCCAAAGAAAAGATGTAAACAGGATAATAATTTTACCTGTATGTATATAGCTTCTCAGATCATTTGAGAGGGGCAAAAGATGGGGTGATGCTTCTCAATGATCAAGACACTTTTAACTGAAATGGGTTTTCATTTGGAAAAAAAAAGCCCACATTGTTTTAATCTGGCATTAAACAAAATACTGTGCTTCTTGCACTACTTTAACACATATGAAAAAGCAAAATAAGTAGCCATATTTTGGCATTCATGTTTACATTTGCTCAGATCTTTTAGATTTCACAAAGCTGCTATCCAGGGTTGCCATGAAATACAGATTGTATAATCTAGGTAGCACAGGCTACTTCCAATACCAATACTAAGTAGAAAGGAACATGAAGCAGGGCATTACACTACAGTTCTGGAACTAGTACAGTAAGAGTGAAAACCTAGAAAAAGTTAATCTATAGTTTATAGAAGGAACTAATTATCTGCAGAAGCCGATTTTTGGTTGTATATTATTTTACACTGTGTGGTTTTCTGCATCTGCTAATTTAAAGCAGACATACATGCTGCTTTCTTTGCTTTGTTTCCTATGTTCTCTTCTCTCCACATCCCCATATACCATACATCAAGCATTGTGAATATAAGCCCAAATATCCCAGACAATCCAGTGAACAAAGTTAGTGTAATGCACTGGTGTGAGGTGTGAAATAAAAAAATGTCTCTCAATCTTCATCAAAGTTCTGCTGTAGAAGAAAGTTGGCAGCCAAGTTTTCATTCTTCTCACATGCAAAATATGCCTGTATCACAAGTCCTTCAGGAAATCCTAATGCCTTTAACTGAAGAAAAGAAACACATTTAGAAAGCACATTTTGTATATTAAGCTTCTTTGTATGTCTAGTTATCTTGAGATGCCACTTAAGCAATCACTGCTTTCTTGAAACAAACATTGCTGCCTAGCTCAGTGCAGACTTTTATAAGCAAAGAGTAAGAAGGTGTTGCCTCTGTCTTTAGTAAACAGAATTCTTACTTGAAAAAGTGATTTGAATGAGTCTAATGAAGCATCAGAAAACATTTCACTTGTCCTGCCACAGTACGTCACTAAAACCAGACTTGGGTCACAGTAACGTCAGGAAGTAACAGCACATTGCACTGTTGCAGAAAAAAAAACTTCAAACAATGCCCATTTCAAACTCTTAATTATACAAAACTCAGGATTTTTAACAAAAGTAGCCTGGAACAAAATTTAGTAGGTAGCCCAACACATCACATTAAGCCATACTTTCAACTGTTCCGACAGGACTTTCACTTCTTAAAAAATTGACTACACATTGCAGCCACGAGAAGTAAGTTCAAAGATACAATGGCAAGAGAGCTTATTACTGTGCCAAGGGAAATGGGTTTAGCCTGCACTTAAAGACATTCAGCAAAGCAATCTTCGTTTTAGCCACAGGCAAGTACATACAACCATTTGCAGATTTTCTCAAAATCCTCACAGCATCTGCAAGGCATTTTACATATAGGGCAGATAAAAATCTCTGTGAGAAACTATGTCCTATTATCCCTTATCAAACATTCTTAGATTTAATTTCATGCTTACAAACAGCATGAATCTGCCAGCTGTAATACTAAGACACCTAAATTTTGAGGTGTGTCTTTCATGGAAAGGGGAAGAAGCATACAGGTCTCCATCGGGTTTTGGAATAGGTTGTAGAGGTAATGCTCTACTGCATAAAATGGTTCTAACAGGAAATGCAGCAGACTAGAGAGGATGATCTGTGAATGGACAAACAATTTTATTACTGTGTTACACACAGCGTTTATGAATGCAATATAGCACCCCAAGTATATTTCTATAGACATGTTTACCTGTGTTTTTAGACAGCTATAATTAACTAATTCTCATGGATAGATAAATAACTGGGCTAAGTAGCGACTTCAACTAATCTACTTAACTATGTGAGCTCTTACTATCCAAGTACTTTGCAAAGAGCGCTGAGACACACCTCTGTATCTGGAAACCTATCACAGCACGATCTAGAATAGTACCATCTGAGGCTTTTGCAAGAGGAATTACTGCCCGAGTTCCCATTCCTAAGAAAAACCCATTCAATCATCAATCACCACAGACAGCCTCTGATCACTTAACAGGCTCTGCCTCTTCTCAGTAAGACAGATTCAAGAGATTTTAGACACAATTGCAAGAAGACATGTGATTTGAAACAAGACTACAACAGCTATGAAATACCAAATATAAAGTATCAAAAATGATGCAGAACTACTGAGCATAAACAAAGTTTAAGTTAAGGCATGTCTTAAGCATGCACCAGAGTCAACAGACTATAGCAACAGCCAAGCAGCGTTTCAAAGAAGAAAGGCTCACCCTTTCTATAGCTTCTTTTTCCTGAGGTGTTACTTGAATGTAGTTCATATGACCATTTCCAGCTTCTGCTACTCCTCCAGTGCTGGCACCATCACCACTGCCACTTAAACCCTGGCGGGACTCTAGAACTGGCTCATTCAACATATGAATAAAATGTTCCTGGTGTTGGCTTATTTGCTGTGATGCATGGGAGAATAAAAAAAAAAATATATTCAAATAAAGCATGTTTAAGCTTGCCAAGATGCAAGTAAGAATATTTATTTTCAGTGAATTAAGTAGTCAAAACAATGTGTAAAAAGTGCATAAAGAAAAATCCTTAAATCTAACCATAAGAAATGCAATTACGTATTTCAGTTCAATTGCAGTGACCCTTCCTTCTTCCTGATGCCCTTTATACCTCTTATAAAGAAACTCAGACTCACTTCTAATGTCACAGAAAGTATGTTCCGGACAGCAACAACTGCTGCAAAGTGAACAATAGAGTGTCATAACTGCTATTAACACACTAAATCAAAATTAGCAGCATTATTTTCTTAAGATTCACCTGCAGCAGTTGAGGGTTTTCCCGTCCAATCTGCTGTAGCAATGCCGGTAACAGAGATGGATTTTGCTGAATTATTTGTCTCATCTGCTGGAACTGAGGCTGATTTCGTAAAAACTCAAGTGGATGTCCTGAAAAATCAATGAGATAACATGTTTTTAAAAAAGTTGCCAAGATTCTTAATGAAACACATACCTACATTATAACTAACTGTAGATAGAAACAGGACATGAAAGTGGACAATACACCCCTCACTGAAGAACAGAAGAGCTTGCTTCCTCGCACTAACTTACTCTATCTTTAAGCAAGAACTCTTTATACTAAGGTTAAACAGCGCATTTTCTTTTCACCCAGCCTTCTCTTAAGATCCAATAGCCTTCTGTCTTTGATCTCCAGCAGTTTTCTCTTTTTATGTCTTACCTCTGAGTAACCTCATTCAGAGGCACCTACCCAGCCTGCTGCCTTGTCTCTATGCGTACAACAGAGTTCTCCACCTCCTGCTATAGGTCAGTTCTGTTCTTCTGCCTTGCCTTCCCATATATCCTATACTGTTAGGTACTGCCTTGAACTCAGCAGTGTCTGAAGTGCTCTGAAATATCCCATTCCCCCCATTCTCTCTTCACAGATGATGTCATGCGTGCCTGTCACTAGTAACCTGTACGTTTAACACTCTAGCCTCTGTCAAGGCGTTCAACTTGAACACCAGCTCTGCCACAGGCTGACAGACCTTTCCTACTCCTTGATTATGCTCCTTTCATATATTTATTTCCCTTTAAGACAAGAGCTGTCTTCAGCAGACACCAACCACTCTGTCCATGTGCTTCACTACTGAGTGAGGAGTCCAAGGATCATGGATAGGTCTCCCAGGTGCTAGACCTCACAGCCTTATTGCAGGTTTCTCCCTTGATATCCCAACTTCCAAGTGGTAAATGGATTAGTATAGTCACAGTCTGCAGCGCACAGTTAGCCACAAGAAGTATGAAGCTAGAGTTTAAGTGAGAGAAAACACAACCCCCTCCACATGGTCTTACATTTAAATCCAGAATATCAAATCAAATGAATTGTGCAAGTTCACAGCATTCTTAGAATCTTCATGCTTTATTCCAGACATACCCACATGCAACAAGCCATTTGTTCCAAGCAAGTACCACACTTGTAATTTCCATGTTACAGCTCTTACCCAATTCACCCTGATCAGTTCATAAGCACGAGGAACTTAAAATTCACTGAAGCAGAGAATGCTTAAGTGCGTGTGTTTATCACATCCTCTCAAATATAAACTTTCTTACCTCCTAATGAACTAGTAGTTGTAGGTATAGTTGCTACTGCAGCTGCCACTGCTGAAGACTGAGAGGCACCAGTGCTTGCTGCTTGAGGGGGTTCAGCCACAGCCTGATTGTCTCCAGGTATACCCTAAAGCCACAGTTCAGATAATTACCTACAGAATGCTAAAAGATATTTGTTTGCTGTATGTATTTAGTTTTCAGAATGAAGGAAAACACATTAATGCTTTCACTACAAATACAAAGCAAGATGCTGGAAAAGAATACTGTGAAAAGAGAAGTTTTGGTTTTTTTTAACAAGAAAAGTATGTGGTTTGTACGGTGAGGTAGTAAAGCATGCACTGCATCAGTTTAAAATACTTTTTACTCCATAAACAAATACTTGCTTTGAATCCCGTTCTAAGATATTCGATGCGAGTGAAAAAGTTAAAACTCAAATATACTGTTATAATATGGCAATTTATGCAAATAAAGTTAGATTACAGTAATGGGATGTTTACAGTGAGATTATAGATGCCATACAATCTGGCAAGCAATTAAGAAGAGCTAGAAGAACGTGGCTCTTCGGAACTCTTTCCTCAACACAACAGTGTGATGACTGTCATTTACTGTATCTTAAGTGCGAAAAGGCCTATATGTTACCAAGTTTTAGCAGTTAAAAAAAAAAAACCAGTTAACTTGCATTTTGTTTTCCATGTGCAAACAACTTTATATAGGAACTAATTGCTCAGGGCAATGGAACTGACACACCTAAAAAAGAACAGCAATAGTAAATTAGAATCTAATAATCTAATAGTAAATTAGAATGCGGGTTATACAACCAAGACAGACCTTACTCTATTACCTTTCTACTGCATGGGAATCCTTCAAACTTCCCACCCTAACCATGCTTTCCCCACTGCCACTCCTGCATCAGATTTGTACTTTTCACACTCCTTCCTGAAGCCTACAAACTTAGGCAGGCTGGTATGGGACAGACACCAAGAAAGATTCCTGTATGACTACAAGCCCTGGAGGTACAGGCAAGGGAAGTGGCCCGACAGGAACCCAAGAGGCAGACTCCAGAGGGCAGCAAACCAGTAGAGGAGCAATGTTAAACTAACCCCAAAGGGGCAAGACTATATCAGATCCTCTACCTCACAACACTCATCTTCCAGGGCATCAAAAAATTCCGTTTTTCTACAGTCTTCCAATATAGTCAACGCAGATAAGTCTGAGAAGGCAGCAGCACTGGTATACCTGAATATATTTCACCTGTCTCAAATCAAGGAGGCACCCTTCAGTTTGGGAACCACAAAACATATGGAACAGTGTGTGTGGAGATAATCACAGAGCTTCAGTGTAACTAGACAATGAAGAGGTTAGGCAAACTGACCACAGAAATTCCTGGTACGTAATGTACATTAGAAGTCCTGCTCTACCATGTTCTTCACATAAGTTCATGAACAAAAGGACAAATACACAGCTGATATAAAGGCCACATCTAAAAAGTGAGAACTGGACAGTGCTCCAGGCAAAACTTTGCCTTAACTGTGAGATAAGAAGCACATCAGGGTATAAATCATCTAGTCATCAAGTCCATGTTTAAGCCACTCAGCAGAATAAATGCAAGCTTTCCCTGTAACACTCTTCATTACCATTATATGGCTTTGTCAGCTTGCTACACATCCCTCCCTCCTCGGGGGGGGAAGAAAATTCCATTCATGACATAATTCTGAGGTAACTCTCTCTTACCAGTGCCTTACAGAGCATGACTTAAATACAGTTTCCCATCAAAACAGTTATTTCTGGGAATCTAAGTATAATGTAGGAACTCGTGTTAGTCTTACAAAATTACTGGTTGATTTCACCTGTTCACAGACATATGCTGTCACTGCAACCTCTGCAGATCAAACAGCAAATGTTTGTTCAAACCTTAAGTTTGCTGTTGAACGGAAGCACTGTGGAAACTAGTCCAAACAAATTTACTTAAGAGATAATTTGTCATCTTGAACATCATCTTAACTCTTAAATACAAGCTTGAAGTATCAGTCTGCAAATAACCAAGACTGTGTACAGCTGTAATCAGACAAGACTAGAGGGGTATATGCATTGTTCATACAGCTATCCAACAGAATAAAGCGTGACAGCAATTCACATACAATTAATTTTGAATGTAAAAATTGCTTGGAGAGCAAAAAGGCTATTTTTGCCTTATGGTGGACTAAAACAATTGTTTGCTGTTGAATTCAGCATCAGAGCCATTTTTAGCTGAGATTGTTCCCCACAGGGTAATAACCACATTAGGCCTAGCTCAAGGAACGTACACATTTAGAACAGAATAGTTCCAGTTGGCAGGGAACTACAACGATCATCTAATACGACCGCATGACCACTCCAGGGCTGACCAAAAGTTAAAGCCTGTTATTAAGGGCATTGTCCAAATGCTGTTTTTAAGCCACTGACAGACTTGGGGCGTCGACCACCTCTCTAGGAAGCTTATTCAGTGTTTGACTACCCTCACGGTAAAGAGATGTTTCCTAAAAGTTCCCAAACTAAGAGTTTGCAACCAATGGTCTGGTTGTTGGAAGAAAGACAGACTCCTTCTTAATTAAGGGTTAAGAAAACCTTGTATCAGAAAGAGATTTCAAGCTAAATGCCTCCAAAGCTGAGTCTGGGGCATAGCAAAAGAAACAGTGTCTTTTGGAATTGAGACCTCCACCCATGACCATGGCTCAATGACATAGGACATCTAGATCCTCAGCCATGAAGCTATGAAAACTAAACAGCTTGTCATCTGAACCATGGTCAACAAGTGGAATCTTCAGGGCTGATTTAAGGAAGAGCTGCGTTTTAAGCGTAGATAGTCTCTTGACATTTTCTTTCCAACACTTCAGAGACACCTTTGGTGTACTGATTCTTTAAACCAGGACAGCGGTATACACTTACAGCTCTCAACATCTTAATCCTACCCTGCAGCTTACATAAAACACTGATGATGGTTTGGAGGCAGGTGAAGTAGAAGGCAATGAAAAGGTCATCAATGGACCCATATTAACTAGTGAATCTTTTTCTGATGCAGCAGGGTGGTAAAGTATATATTTAGACCCCAGCAGATCAAGAACATTTAGAAAGACCATTTGCAGCAACAGGATTCTTCTAAACAGACAATAGAAGCCTGCCGGCTAATACAGTCTGTAAGAGCAAGACTGTTCCTCCCCACCCCCTTTTCTAGCAGGAAGAAGAGGAAGAACAACAAAAAGATGTTTACAGTAAAGGGTAACATGGAACAGAAAGGGACCAGCTTATATAACAGAAGGACCCATTTTAAACACAGGACCTGCTGAAGGAAGAGAAAGAACTGCCCAGACCAGCCAGACTGAATCTATTTATCAAACGTGCCATGCGTTGAACTCCATCGTAGGGATGCTCTATTTCTATTCAGAACTTCCTGAACACAAATAAGCTAGGGCAGGGAAATACCAGACTGAGTGTACAAGCACTACACACTGTATGTGATTGGCACATGCACAGCAAGCCCGACACTTACAGGAGGCACTGGACTTATGGTATATGTACAGATTAAATGAATGGTAAAATCAACATTTTTAAGGCATGAAAAACAAATGTTTGAGATTCCAAACTTATAGCAGATAGATTACTAGCTACTACAGCTATGGCATTCACCCTTAGGGCAAGATAATATTTATCACCTTTCATTGGCCTAATATTAGATGAGAACCGAACTTTTTACATTAACGTATTCAAACCATTTGTTGTCTGTTTAAAAACTACAAGTTGCAAAGCCTTGGGATCATTAATGTAAGTAGCAAGCATGCCAGTGACTTGTACCTGAAACTACCAAAGAAAAACTTCATTATCAAAAGGAAAGTTTTATAACTGGAGGTAAAGATGCCAGTTTTCTTATCAACCTATGAGAAATTCAATCCACATATATGATGCAACCACTGTTTCAGGATATCTGGCTTCAAGATTTTAATGAACTTCAGATTTGGAACAAAGTAAAACCGCATCAGGGAAAAAAGGGTATGCTAGAATGAAAACTAAATGCGCTGGAAATACTGATTAAGCAACAATCTCCCAGACAGATTCTCTGGTGCTGACAATTCACCTGTCAGATTAAGGCATACAATGACAAGTAATCCAAAAAGCCCCTAAAACAACTCACAAGATTTCTGTTAAAGTGAAGCTACTCTTCTATTTCCCCCCATGCCAATGACGTTCATTCACCCTTCAAATTACATTTATCAAATGAGAATTTTCTTCTGCTCCAAAACACCGCTTAAATTAAAACATCAGTTAAATTAAGCACACTTTAAAAAAACCCTGAAACATATTTGTTTGGAACAATAAGAACACTGTGCAGTATTAGTAAAAACAATTAACTGGAACTTAAAAAAATGCCTTTGTGATGTTACAGATAACAAGTAAATAGAAGTTAAAGCTACTCTTCAGTGAGTACAAAATAAAAAGTGAAAGAACAAGGTGTAGGTAAAATAAACTGCTCACCATTAAAAGGTATTCCACCGCTCTGTCAGGATTGTTGAAGCTGGCCCTCAGCGCCGCAATTACTTGCTCTCGTTCATAGCCCATTGACATGATCTCAGTCACCATGTTCTCATAGGACTGACCTGTCACTAGAAGTAACATGACCACCATTTTAAGGGAATAAGGCAAAACAAGCACAAAAAAGTTGCAATGGTTAAGTTTAATTTCTACCCAATTTTGAGTTGTTCATTGAAGAATTTATTCTTTAGAATAGCTCATATTAAACTTGCCATGGTTCTGTTGCTTTAACTCCAAATATATTCTGGTTGTTTCATTATGCATTTGATTGGAACATTAGAGGGTAATGAACACAATGCAAACTTCTACTGAAAAAAGCAGCACTTATGATACTTCCGTACTTGTAATTGAAATAATATTCCTCTCTATGCTTTCATCTAAGGTCAAGGGCATCCTCACAGCTAATATTCAATTCCTGATGTAATCAAGAAAAGTCTCCTGTAGTTAAGTTTGGAAATTAAACTTTCTAGGCAGAAATATGCCTGTCAAACTGTTAGCCACTGAAGTTTTTCCAAATAAAGACTTTACTCTAAGCTACAGTTAGAAAGATGACAAACAGTGATGACCAAGTTACAACTACATTATTGCTAAGTGCTGGTGATGATGATCAAAGTAATTTAATCAACTTAACATTGACCAACTCAAGTCAGGCAGAAGTTACACTCAGGAAAGTCCCTCAAGACCTCAATGAGGGTTCAGGAGAACAAGCTGTCTCATTTATTTCATGTATATTTGACTAGACATCCATCACATCAAATCCCTCACCTCTTACAGCATAAATTGACTAAAACTACCCTACACCTGCAGCCATCAAGACAAAAGGGTACACACACTATATACGAAGCAATTTAAAGACAACTGATCACTACACTAATGGTATCATAAGGAAATTTATTGTCTCCTTTCATAATCTGTTTTATTTCCCTTCCTTAAAAGCAGACAGCAGGTTTAACAATTCAAAAAAATAACTATTCTATTATAAATTGTAGTTGAGCAACATCTTAAAGGTTATATTCCCATGCAAAAACAGAAGGAAAAAAAACCCAAACACAGGCATTAAAATACCATCTCCTATGTTGGATAAAGGTATTCCTGATCTCAGTGGAACCCTACCACTGACTCTGTAACACTAGCAAGTTAGTGGCAGGAGAGTTAAATAATTAACAGTCACCATAAAAGCAGTAGATTAAAAAAAGTAGAGGAAACAAATACTACTACAGCTACTCTGTTAAGACAAGTAAGTCACAATTAAGAGAACCAAAGAAAATATCAAGTTTTATTTCCTTAGGGAGAAGGTGTTTAACTCAAGCCAACATTAACACAATGACATTGCTTGATTTTTAAAGAATGCTTCTAAATAATCAGTGGATGTATGACTGAGGGCAATATACTCAAGAACAAATAATAAAACAGCACTACCCCCAGGATACTTGTGAACTATCCATAAATACAAATAATGGATTTACAACCTTTGACTAATTTGAGTATTTATTGTTCAGACTTCAAAATAATAGTGCCAACCTGAGTTTAAGGAATGGTAAGTTCATGTCTTTACATACGACTACAAGATCAATCATTTTACATCTACCTTCATTTTTTCAAAGACATAAAAAAAACCCCTAAACTTTGCTCTAAAGATACATATTTCTGTACATATCTGCAGAGAAGCAAAAAAGCCAAGCCAATGATTGTCCCAACACAGTGATTTTGCTAAACTTACTGCTCGTGTTCCTTCTTACCCAGCACTGGTTTACCCTTACTACTGCTAATAAACTAATCAAGGAAAACCGCAGGCAGAACTAATTGATATAATTAGTTACTACGTAAACATTTCTGTAGTGCTTTTTCAATATAAGCTAGGTAGAGACTAGAACAGCATGAGCGATTTGGTACGGAAAAAAAAAAGATGCAAGAAGGTCAACTTGCACTGGACAGACTGCTACATAAGCCATAATTAAAAGTCAAAGAAGGAAACAGAATTATTGCAAATTTAGGCACATGTACTCCATATAGAGTCTACTTACACGAGCCATGCAAAAGTAAGACCAAGAATAATAACTCAGGAATTGCACACCAGCAATGTCATGATACAGTCAGACCCTTCTTTACATACTGCTACTGCAAACGGTTGTGAGGACAATGCTGAACTGATTCTGCTCTTTGCTTTTATCTTTCAAGTAATATTTTAAAGCTGGATTAACTTTCAAATCCAGTTTATCACACTCCCCACAATAATTCTTGTCATATGCCCTAAAGAAAGCTTAGGCTGCTCCAGTGAGAGACATGGCTGCACAGGAACTGCAACACGTGCAGATCTTCGCAAAGCCACATCATCTTCCAGCCAGCGTATCTAACTGAAAACAAAAGTAATTCAGTAGAAACTGTTTTTGAAGTGAAGTCAATTATCTTCAGACAATTTAATTATGAAGCCACAGTAAGAACATACCTAGGATCCTACTTAGGATGTAAAAACATGCTACATGGATTTGTTTAAGCAAATTCCTTTTAAGACACTTTCTAAAGAAAAAAGAACCATTAGAACTCATGCCTATTGCCACTGAGCATTTTCTGGCATATAACCCTTGCAGTATGCTTACCTAGCAAATTACACTCAATGCCTGTTATTGCCAAAATATTAGGGACGTGGGTTTACTGTATCAGATACCAATCAAAGAACTTTCATATAAAATGGATAGCGAGGTGATGCTCTCCTGCTACATTTAAAGGAGTCGTTGTTTTGTCTTTTTTCTTAATTCTGACAATAACTGAGCCAAGACTACCAGCTCAATTAAACTTGTTGGTCATTATTATTAACATGAGTGTTTGTGACAACCACATCTTGTCCACTAAGGTACAATGAACAGTTAATGAAGCCTGCAGCTCTTTTGGTAGCAGCAGTCACTTTAAAAATGTAACAGAACTCGACTAGTTGTCTCCTACAGTATCTGTCAGCTATTTCAGCTCACATTTCTTCAGCCTAGAACAGTATGTCATAATATAAGAACTAAGCTGCAGGCAGACAGACTAAACCTGGTGGCTACCACCAACATGCATAAAACATTACTACTGCTGCTAAATTGCCTTGGGCTGCTTAATCACAACACCCACCTCCAAAAGATCCACACATCCCTACACAGAAGTGTAAGCGAAACTTTTTAGTTTAACTTTTTGCACCAAGTTGCAGTTTAATGTTTACAGAGATAAGACAAAATAAAAAAGCCCATCTCCCCCTTATTTCTGTGCCTTAATTTGCTACTCTCTAAAAAAAAAAAAAAAAAAAAAAAATCACCTCCAAAAATTTAAGCAGGAGTAAGGAGTTCTGGGTTTGCCTAGTATTTTCCTAGCCACTAAAATCAGCATAAATGAGGGGCAGAACTTTCTATTGGTTTTGTTCTGTTTATTCCACTGAGAAACAAAGACATTTAAACTGTCAAAAGAAAACTGAATTGACTCTATGTATATGGAGGCATTCATTCCTCAACCCAGACAGCAGCGGATTTGGTGAATTTATCTAATCTAAATGTGTCAAAAGACAGTACTATCGAAGCTGGAACAAGTGAATAATAAAGGCAGCCATTTTTATCAGACCTGCATACTGGGAAGCAAAGGTGAAAAGAAAAGCGTATACATATTTACATCGAGTCTTCTATTCAAGCCACTTCAAACTGAATAGTTAGAAGAGAAATTAAGGCAAACGGGGAAAAAAACAGGAATGATAAGGATCTTCCTTTTACACAATAAAAATATATGAAGTGAAATATTCTTCAGTAAAGAAGGTCTTGATGCTGGTTTTAAGATACCAACTTCAGGTCTTAGAGAAGAGTACTTTGATTATAACTTTAACAATGACAGATACAGAAGAGAAGGTCAACATCTGCTAATCCGTCATTTGCTTCTGCTGCACCAAAATAATGTCTACATTAAAAAAACACTCCACTTACCAAGTGCACTTATAGCATCCTCAAAAAGATTTGATCGAGATGTATCACCTGTTGTACTGTAAGATGAAGACAAGTGCAATGGTAATTACAAAACTTTGGAAAACTTCCTCTTTTTCAAAAAAAGCAGCAGCAGCTGTAACTCTAATAGCCCCTTTTGTTTCTAAAAAACCAACAAAGCTTTCCAAAGAGCTCTCTTTTGGTCTTCTAGTGAGACCAGATTTTACAAACTTACAATGCTATCATTTTTAATACAAGGCCAACCTTCCCCCCTACCCCCCAATAGTTTGGCTCTTGCCCATCTGCTCAGGGATTAGCCATCTGCTTGCTTGAATGCTTTAAAGGGTGGGAGAATAAGGTGGATTTTCAAAAGCACAGAGCAGTCTCACTAACTGCTTCCTCATGGTCACCAGTTTGACCTCAATGAGGATCCAAGGAGGTCAGTGTCAAGCACTTATCAAAATCTCAGTACTCTACTTTCCCAGAAATATAAACTGCTAACATTTGCAACTCCATCTGAAGTTATCAGAGCTGTTAAATTACAGAATTAAAGGCTCACCTCCATGAGCACCAAGGAACACAGAGGCAGACCACCAGGCACAGGAACCCCAGTTAACTCCGTCCGAGCCAAGGGTGCCCCTTTCCTGGCTCCTCCCAGGGCTGCAAACTTAAAGCGTCAGCCCCTTGGTCTCAGGGTAACACCCCTTGACGGGTCAAAGCAAGAGGCTCTCCAGGTCTCCTTACAGATCAAGGGCAATACTCTCTACAGGGTGGTGTGACTCACCATGGGGTGCCAGGAAAAAGTGATTGGGAATTGTGCAAGACTTATTATGGGATATCTAGGGGAAACAATGGCAGGGGAAGGGAAGCATCAAGGCACCCTGCAGATGAAAGACTTGGGTAAAGAGAATGAAAAGAGGAAAAAAAGGGCCAGTCACATGTAAACATGTCCTGTACCTGATCCCCAGTTCATCCTGCCTTCTAATTAAACTCCATTTCTAACTATTTTTCATGCTGGGGCATCTCTTTATTCTATATGTATGTGTGTGTATGAAAGTCTAAGTGCCCACAGCTGGACAGGGAACCATGAGTCACAAGGATCCACACATCTGCGGAGCCAGCAACTGCAGAGACCAGACACTGTGGAATTCTCAGTGCCAGGAACTGGAGAAGGGGCCACAGGGGTCCACGTGCCTGCCACATGTTGACAACAGAAGAGACTAGAGTGCATGCATATTCTGTTTAGATGCATATGCTGGTGTGTGTGTAATCACCAGCAAGCTTTAAGCTTGACTACAGCGAGTAGGGTAAGACACTTGAGAGCCATGTATTGAATGGGTGTCAGTCAGTCAACTGCTGGAGAGACCAGAGGGTCTCAGAGAGGAGCTGCTGAAAGACTGTAACCTCTGGGGGCACCTACTGGTAAGGTCATAAGCCTCAACCAGCTAGTGGAGAGACCTGTTTGCATGTCCATATGAATGAAGCAACTGGGAGACCAGGGGATCTAGGGACTAGCTACCAGGTTCAGTCCACGTGTACAGCGAGTTCCTGGATGGATCCTCTGTGGGTGCATATGCGTGCAAAGGGAATCTGATAATCAGCAACTGCAGCAGGGTTGCAGGGCTCAGGCAGTCACATGCCCAGGTACCAAAAACTTGGGAGACTAGGAGTTCTAGAAGTCAGCTATTGGAATAGAACATCTAAGACCAGCTACTGGAGAAATTCATATTGTTCATGTGTATGTTTGTACGTATGTATTTTGCACTACTGGGCTTTGCCCTGGGTAGCTAGAGGGAAAAAGGATGTGACTGCTGGCGTTGTATGGTTATGGTTGTTTGAGTGCCTTTTTCTTCCTGCCTGTGTTGACCTATGCAGCCAGCCATATATACAGGTGTATACATATTGTGTGCATGCACTGGGACGGCATGTTCCATCTTGATACTTGATATACCTGGGGACAAGGAGCTGCAGCAGCCTCGCATCTGTCAGGCTACCAGAGTCGGCAACTCCTATCAGCAAGTGAAAGATTATCAGACTGATCTGAATCAGTTCTCAGAAGATGCCACTGAAAATCTAACAAGGCACTTAGAGAGATGCATTTTTTTATGTAAGAAAAAATTTGTTCCAACAAGAATGCTTCACTAGTATCTGTCACTAGTAAGATTTACAGCTAAAAAAGATGAAAGGCAAAACAGGACACCAGCTTGCCTGGCCACGTCTCAATAAATCTTCACCAGCCTTAGTAATTTAACTTCTAAAGCAAATGAGAAACAAGCAATACTCCCTGAAATCAAGGGAGGTGGTAACTATAATGTATTTGTTATTCTCTTGCTTCCTGTTAACTATGTACACTGAGGCTCCCTTACTGCAGTTTTACAACACTGTAATCTGTACATGAAAACCTGGAAAGCACTGTTTCAGTATCAAAGATTCAGTCCAATCTTTCAGCCTACTGGACAAATTGAGCAGCAAAAACCCCTGCCTGTTCACGTTAAAAAAAGTCTCTATTCCATTTTAAAAATATGTCCATTTCTTAGAATTGCAAAATTAAATCATCAGTCAGGGTATTTAGTGCAAGAAATTTGTGATGATGACATTTTCAAGATATTAGGCAATTGCAAGTTTTGTTTCCTTATCATCAAATCAATTATTTGATGGTGTTTGAATACAACCACTTCAAAAATTACTGTCTTGTGCACCAGTATTCACATAAATGACACACAAACAACTGAAAACCAGTGTATGAAAAATGAAGACTTGATGCTATGCAGCACTTCAAGGGCCATTAAATCATAGTTAATGACATTTTTATCCCATGCAATATTTAAGCAACTTAAAGTGAGCAAAAAAAGGCCACAGCATACGACACGGATGAAACCTCTAACTTCCATTTGATTTTCTTAAGTGTAGAGAATTTAGGTAAAAAGCTATCACAACTCCCACAAACATCTGCAGATGGGCCAAGGAGCATTCAGAACAAGTAAGCTTGTAGCTTTAAGACATTACAGGATTAAGAGCAATATGATATCCTACATTTTGGAAGGAAAAGCTCTTTCCAGAAATTAAGAGAGACTTACAGCAATAAAGAACTTACGGTTCAAATCTAACAAACATGATTCAAAACACAATCAGAGGCCTATGAACAGGACAGGACACATTCCTCTGAAGTCTTTAAGAGCTTTGTGAACAGTAGATCCCCACACAGGTGAATATTCTCAGTCTGAAAAGAAACTTGTGCCACAGTGACTCCGAAATGCCTAACAGGAGAACAAGCCCTATTTAACTCCACTCCACAGGTTTAGTCCCAAGGCCACACTTCCCACCGGAGAAGGTGTAAGCGGGAGGGGCACTTCTTGCCATCAGTAATGTTACACTTGAGCCAGAGACTGAAGTTACAGTTAAGAAAGGAGAAAAATTATGTAGAACTGAGAACTGTGATTGAAAATTCAACTTAAAATCAAAACTAGAAGCAATAGAAATGGACAGGGAAGCCATTTTTGGAGGCTCATTCATACCTGTCAGTTGATGATGGGCTGACAGCAGCTGGTGCTTCAGGTGGTTTTTCTGCTGGCTTCTCCTCTTTAGGAGCACTCACAGGTGCAGATTCACAAGCAACTGCATCTGCTGCTGGTGGTGGAGGGACCGGAGCTGGCACAGGGGCAGCAGCAGGGACTGGTGCAGTGACTGGTGTGGGAGCTGCAGTTGTCGAGCTGATAGTGGTAGAAGCATTTAACTGCGGAGTCACTCCAGCTGCTGCTGCTTTGGGCTACAGGAGGACAACAGAATTCAGACACAGCGTAGAGCTCCTTAATGCATGCTTTCTATAGTCAACACATTGATTACGTTCTGTTAAGACCATTTGTGTTTGACATTGTTGCCTCAACATCAAGCATAACATTAAAACATTGCAAGACATTAAATCCATCATGCCTTTTATTGTGTTTAAACAGGCAACTGATAGTGTCACTAAAGTACTTATTTAGACACCTAAGCAGTAACACTATTTCAGTATGAGGTGAAATGCAAAGATAAGATCTAAATATTTACAGACGGCAATACTCTAAATATGAAAACAATCTTGTGTTTTACAAAAGCACGTTTTTCAGAAGAAACTAAAACAGTTGTCAAAAAGACATCTGACAAGCATAACAAGCATAAGGTTTTCTCACCACTCAAATTTGGAAAAAAGTGATAAAGACAGAAGTCACATTTCATATGAATGCTGTTTGCTGGAGAATGAGATGCTAAAAAATTTAAACTTAACCTGCAACAAGTTTTACTTATGCATTCTCTACATTGAAAGCACTACATAAATAACTTTGCACATACTTGAGTTCTGTAGTGAGCACCAAAAATGCAGCAGAATCAAGAGCTACCAAATCTACAGCAACATATTTTGAGTGGGTAATACTTGCCCATAATTGCAATTTTATCTTCACATCTCCATTGGAAACATGAATTTTTCTTGGATGCAGTATTAATCCCATTATATATAAATTACACTTTTCAGAATGCATGTAACTTCAAGCTAAGGTCTGGAACTACATTTTTGAAAGCTGTAGCGCTGTAGTCCCTTACCTATGAATACCCTTAAGGATTGACAAGGCTGACCCCCATCTCTGCCTGAACCAGAGATATAGTTGAACTTTAATGCAACACAACTACTTACTCAAGGTAAATCACTTTCAGACAATGTTTTCTTAAACTAGGAAAAAATTTATTTCCTCCTTTTGGCTGAAAGGACAGGAGAGGTTGAGAACGAATAGCTTCCACCATGATGGGCACAATAAAGAACATTTTAAGAAGCATTCAGAGAAAAACACTGAAGCACCCCTGAGCATCAGACGAAGTCAGAAGTTGTGCTTAAGTGACAGGGCACATCTTACCCAGAAAAGAATCAAGGAAAGGGAAACTCAGCTTAAAGACTTAGCAAAAAGACTGTAACACTGAAGAAATGCCCAACTCCGAAACACAGGGCCTTTAATATAAGAAGGTACTGCACTTAGCAGTTCTTCATGGAGGTCTGCATTTCTTTGCTATAAACAAAATGAAAGCTGTACTCTGAAATCCCACCTGCACCTATTTTCTTATGCTGACAAATGCATCTTCTCCAAGGAAACCACAGACTAAAACGCTGTTTCTTCAGAAAGACAGCAGTAACTATTATATTCTAACAGAGAATCTAATGAGCCAATACCAGGCAGAAGTGAAAGGCAACTGAATATAGGTTTTCCTTGTCAGAAGGAGGACCTCTAACTCCAAAACTATCTTCACATCTCAAGATAGAGATGAAGCCAGTTTTATTGAGACTCCAAGGGTCTGGAATGCCTAGAAAATCAGTGGCTTGATTCCTGGAAGCAATCTGGTGACTGGTGAAGAGGAGAGATACATCAAACGTATGTCACAGTTACTCCCTTTAATTTGCCATTGCAGTCATTCAAAACTCACAGGTTTGTTGATTGCCGTATGTATCCCTTCTCTACTAGTTTAAGCTGTTGAGCTTGACAAAAGAAACAACCATGAGTTTTGAAAAGGAACGTGGCAAGACTGGAAGAGATCCATAGAGAGGATTTAGTAAAATATCTAGGTTGTCATTGTTGTCTTTAGTATCATTGGCAAAATAAAACACAGGTACAAGAAAGAAGAAGAAACAGTAAAATCAGCCTCTGGCGAATTTTTTTCTGTGACATAAACATGCAGCACAGAACAGCAACAATCAGTGTAGGCAAGGCAGGGCTGTGAAGCAGTACTTTGTATCTCTTCACACAAGTGGCTATTTTTACTGTTGACCAAACTTTCACATAATCAAATTCCACTGGTTTTAAGGACAGGAATACACAATCACTAATCACAATGAAAAAAAAGAATTAAATGAATGCAATTTCATTTTCAAAAATAAGGACTACTCACTTTTGTCACCATAACCACCACAAAGTTCTTCTCATCTATTTTGTATTCTTTAAGAGCAGTATCATCATTAAGGATTTTACCTGGCAAATTAAACAAAGTAAAAAAGAGTTATTGAACTAGATCATTAGATGATCTTGGGATTCCCTCATATAAACACAGTTCCAAAAAACCCCATGAAAACAAGTTTTATGCAAATGTATAAGCATTAATAACCCTACAAGAAGTGTTTTGGCTATTAAGCTTTGGCAGCAGAGCTACAAGTAATTTTCCTCCTATGACATCCACAGATCCAGTTAGCTTCAAGGCTGTTGCCAAAAGCGTTGAAGATGCTTCAAATCATTTAAAACAGAAGCGTTACATCTAGAGAAAGATTTACTGGACCTTTAACACAGATAAAAGTAACGTAGAGGAAAGGCTTTGTCTGTCACGCAATAAGCTTAAATGAATAATTTATGCGTCCTTATACACTCTAGGCACAGTAAGAAAATACCTTCCTGCTTATCTCCTGTTTGCCCTTCAGATGTAGTAAACTATCTACAGTTCCCTGCCATGGACTAAGTTTCTCTGCATTAGGTTAGTTTGTCACTTTGCAACTTTATCAATTTGTTCTTAGAAAAAGGCTAAAGTGTTAGAAAAAGCTAGAACCATTCCATATTCTGCTACCTTGAGAGAAGGATGAGAAAAAAAATGATCAGAGAAAACCAGAAACGCTTGTTTGTTATACTACCACTTTTGATGTTTCATAAGCAGAGATGGTAGATGGTACTGTGGCAAAGTAGATTTGCCTCACGCCTACAAGAACTCAGAAACACATTAAACCACATACTTTTTTTTTCTTAAGGATAAGCTGATTTAGAGGCAGTACCACAAATCAAAAAATTCTGTTTTCAGTGAGTTTTACAGCACCTATTTCCACTACAGAATTTTCAGGAAATATTTTTTGATTTTAATTGATTCATTTTCTGAAGATGTGCCAAGGACTGCTTCCCTGTTTCAAGGGGAGAATACACATTCTCATAACCATTCTCAGTGCTAGTGGAATACACCACTTAACTGTAACTAGCAGGACATCCTTATTCCGCTGATTGCAAGGAAATCAAGCAATGCATATGCATTATGGCAGCTGGAACACAAACAAGGTGGCACTGTCCTACTCTCTACTGGTTCCACCAGTCTCGCAGGTCAAGTACTCAAGGTCGTACTGTATGTACTGTAGTAGTAGTAATACCTGTAGCAGATGGTGCAGCATCTGACTCAGAACCTACACAGGTTTACTCACAATCTTCTGGTTTACAGGCCCTTTGGGGAAGGAGCTTGCACAATATATATATGCAGACATCCTATCTTCTCAGGACACACCACTCTCAGGGTTTCTAGACTGTGCCCTTATACAGATGAGAACGTAACAGATCAACCTCACTGCTGATTAGCATAACCTTTTCCTAAAAAAAATTTGCATTTTTAATAACAAATGGTGTCCTTTTAATCGGGTTCAGTTGGGATATCACTCTGCTATACCAAACTATGAAAATTTTAAAGCTCATTTTAATAAAAGTTAAAATGTCATCAACACATCCTTGCTGTATCTCATCTAAAAAAACCCCAGCTTTGGATGGTCTGCCATTCTCAATCTTATTTCCTACATTTTCTACTGCTTCTGACGGCTATAGAATGCTGCAGATAAATCCTGGGTTCAGAAAATACTCCAGTCACATCATATGATCCTATGCAACCCTAGATTTTTTTTAATCACAGAAACATAATATTAAGTGTGTCATGCAATTATACATATTGCACAAGGCCTTCTGCCTTGTTTGTATTTGTTTATTACACTTGTGACTTTTACCTTCACGTTCTTAATGTGCATTCCCTTCACTGAAGTACAAGGGACATAAAACTTGCTCAGAAACATAGTCCTAAAGAGTCCGTACAAACATGGAGAGACTCCCATCTTCTCTTGCATTAGCATCTTTCTATTGTGATCAGTGGCTTTAGCTTATTAGAAGTGGAAAACCAATACTGTGTACAAAGCAGTACACTGAAGAAGTAAAACAGCACCAAAATTTCTTTCAAGCATGGTTTGAGAGGAAAAAGCACTAGAGGGTGTACTGGAATAGAACTTTCTGAGTTCTGAAATGACGTGAGAACAAAAAACTGGATCTGTGTATTAGTGCCAGAATGGACCAGCCAGACAGAAAACAGTAGAAACATATTGCCAAAAAAATTTTGAACTATGTTAGCTCAAATAAAGTAACTTAATATCTTTATCTGACATTAGTCTGCTTTTTCTAGCACACCATACATGTTTCTAGTGACAGAGCTTAAAAGTACTGAAAGTACCTTTGTATAGCAAGGATTTGGTGGTGGGTTTCTTTCATTAATACAAAAGAAGTAATCTGATTTTTAATCCTCTGAAGTATATACAGGAACACTGCAGCTACACACAGCATGAACTGAACATAGGATAAGAGTTAACCCAGAAGATGAGATGTGATTTCCTTAAATCCTGAATTCTTATAAGAAAAGCTATTTCTACTTCACCTAGCATACCCCACCCAGGACTAAAGCTGTTAGTGTATCATGCTATAAGATCAAAGATAACAACAGACACACGTGTATAAAACTTGAAAAATTCTGATTCAAAATTAAGAGTTCCCTCTGACAATGAGGTTTGTTGTTGGTCTCTTTTTGTGTTTGGTGGTTTTTTTTTAACCTGTTTGCATTTCAGTACTTGTAATCTTTAGATGACTTAACATTTGTATCAAAGTCAAAGGAGGACATAAAAAATAAGGACATAAAAATAAGGTAGATTCAGACACAGTATCTTCAGAATATCCTTTACCTGCATAAATTAGTTTTTGGCCAGCTACTGGAAAAGCATCTTTCCCCCTTTCTGATTCAATCTTCTCTTTCAGTGCCTTCACCTAGAGCACAGAAACAGTCTTAATGAAAAAAAAAGAAGTTTCACAATACAAATCCAGTTAAGTATGCTTTGTTCTAAGTTTTAAATACTAAAAAGTAGTTTCCAGTCATAACTTGATTATGTCAAGTACATCAGCCTTCCATATACATCATTGTCACCACTTGCAGAGCAATGTCTTCCCTCCCCAAATAATCTCTCACGCTTGATCAAATCAGGTCATTTCTCCACAAGCAGTTCTTAAGAACGAGTTTACAACACAGTGAAAAATCTAAACATTAGGGAAAAAAAATGTTTTTATCTACTGACCCATTTCCTCTCCCTGTTCCTTCTCTGCATGCAGAGGGCACACATGCTATAAACAGCTGACAGCTTTCTTCATCATAATGACTCTTCAGAGAATGCCTATTTTTTTGGTAACGTCACCACGACATCTGATTTAGCTCACTGGCATGACTTGAAGCCTTGACGTACAAAGACTTGTGGAAACTGTCCAGTTGTTCATTTTGTACAGCAGTTTTCAACTCTTTTCCCTCCCCTGTAATTTTGGGAGCTTTGCATAGTAACTTTAAGCCAACACATGAAAGTGTTTTGCCGTATTTACTTCCTTATACAGATCACCGACACACAGCCCAGACTTCCAGAGCACCATATACAATAGCTCAAATGACACCGTGTTAGTTGCCATCTATCAGAATGTCCATATTCTCCAGAAAGACTGCATAATGCCATCCTGAGGCGATACAAGGATTTTCCTGTAGAAGCATTTCTGTACTAATACATTTGAAATCAAGTTTTAAGACAAACTTCCTATATACAAACATCCATTCTTCTTGCTTCCTGACAGACACTCCCAATATATGTAAAACAAGGACAACCAATCTGTTACGAAGTTAATACTGCAAACTAATGCCATCTTCTAAATTTTTTTTCCTTAATATTCATAAGCTTTTTTCATGAACTGTGGCAACTGAGATGCATGTACCTAGCTAACCTAGCTATTTAACCACATAAGCACATGAGAAAGTGTTTATCTTGACAGCTTAACTGGACTGGCAACTACTTGTGTTAGTGATGTCTTAGACCGTGTGTAACCATTCCCCTTTTCCTTCACTGGTCCCCTCACTTCTTCACCCTCTTCTCAGCTTGTATTTCCATGCTTATCAATCTCGTTACCAGGCTAATCCTTTCAGTTTGGATGTTTGGTCCAAAACAGACAAACCAGACTTTAATACTCACAGTGGAGCTGCACCTTTTCAGCAGTATACATAAAAAGGACTGATTGTTTTAACAGACTTTATGACCAAGCAAAGGAGTCCTGCAGAATCAAACCTCTTCACTAAGCTTACACCCGATCTAAGTGACTAAATCACTAGCCACACAAGCATACAGAATACAACACATGACTTCCCTCTATGGGACCACACCAAAATAGCAAGCCAACTGTTTTTTTAACTCAGCAGATGAAGGAAGGATGCTCTTGGTATTCTTATTATACACGCCATCCCAGCACCTGCCAAAACCTTTTGAATCAGTCTCCAGCCAGTCAGTTGCTTTTTGACTGGAAAACTAACAGCAGCTCACTGCCACCCATAAGTCTTCAGGCAGGTCAAAAAATTACTCACTCTTACTTTACAAAAGCATGGTCTATCTCTGGATTTACGTTTATTTTAAAAGAGTATTTCCTTGAAAACTAAAAATCTAGTTTGTGAATTCCTCCCCAATTATTATTTAAAACTGGAAGTCACTCACCCTACAGCTGAACAACGTCCTTAGGCCACGGATAAGCCACCAAGCAGTTTTTTCTGAACTTTAGAGTATTAGATAGTCCAGGCAAGTCCAGTTAAGTGTCCTGCACCCACTAGGGCAAATTAACCCCCTGAATCAAGTTAAAAGCCTGTTACGTTTTCAAATGCCTACTTTTTAACACACTGCTTAGCTATTCATATATTTATACACTTGTACTAACCGAAGACTCAAAGATGATGTCTCAAAGCTTTTTCTGTCAATTAAGATCACCATATTTCACAGATTTATAACAAATATTGTAATGTGATCAGCAGGTATAACCTATTTTGAGGGACAAAATTAAGGGTCATTTCATGTCCACTGCACTCAGTCAAGCTACTGGTTTCAAATGTCTGCTTTGTCTTCCTCATGTTTTAGTGTTTGAGTTTTATTCCAGACTACAGTCTTTTTCCTACAAGGAACAAAACCAAAATCTGTTCTCAAATAAAAATGTCTGAACAGCTAAATATGGTACTTTAGGTGAGGACACACTAAATGCATATGTTAATTACTACATAACAGACTTCACCTGACTACCATAACTTCAAATATGGAGAGTGGCTTGGCAGCTACATCAGCCAATTCCCTCTGGACTCTGGGATACGTCTCATCAGGCCCCATAGACTTATGTGCATTCAGGTTCTTCAGGTGGACATGAACCTGATCTTCTCTTACAGTGGGAGGGACTTTGCTCCCCCAGTCCCCATCTTATAGTCCATCTACTCAAGAGGTGTGGGAAAAGAAGTTGCCAGTGAAGACTGAGGCAAAGAGGTTGATGAGTACCTCAGCCTTCTCCTCCTGGTTGTGACCAGTTTGCCAATTGTGTTCATTGGGGGAGTACATTTTAATTTATCTTCCTTTTCAGGCTGATATACCTGTAGAAGCCCTTATTTTTCTTTGTGCCCTTTGCCAAGTTCAGCTCCAGCTGCACCTTGGCCTTCCTGACCTCATCCCTACAAAAACACGCCAACATCCTTATACTCTTCCCAGGATACCTGTCCCTGCTTCCACTGCCTCTGCATTTCTTTCTTGCCCTTTAGTTGTACCAGCAGGTCTTGAGCCAGCCATGCCCATCTCTTGGCTTCCTTTCCTGATTTCTTATACCTAGGAATTGAGAGCTCTTGTACTGTACAAAAAGAGACCTTAAAGATCTGCCAGCTCTTTCTGCTCCCTTGCCCCTGAGTGCAGTTTCCCAGGGGGTCCTATTGACTAACTCCTCGAACAGATTAAAGTTTGCTTTCTTAAAATTCAGGGTCCTGACTTTACTCTTTGCCTGACCCATACCCCTCAGGACTGTGAACTCCACCAGTGCATGATCACTCCAGCCCAAGCTGCCTCCCGTCTTGACATCACCAACTACCTCATTTGCATTGGTGACCAACAGGGCCAGTACTGCATTCCCTCTGGTAGGGCTGTCTATTACTTGGCTTAAGAAGTTATCCAATGCACTCCAGGAGTCTCCTGGACTGCCTACCGCTCGCCATGCTACTTTTCCAACAGATGTTGGGGTGGTTGAAGTCCCCCAGCAGGACAAGAGCCTGCGAGTGCAATGCCTCCTGTAGCTGCAGTAAGAAGGCTTTGTCAACAGGCTCCCCTTGATTGGGCAGCCTGTAGTAGACAGCAGCCACAAGGTTCCCTTTGTTACTTTAATCTCTAATTCTTATCCATAAGCTTTTGTGGCTATTCTTCAAAGACTGCTCTTCATAATCTACCCATTTCTTGATGTAGAGTGCAATGCCTCCCCTCCTCTTTCCTCGCCTGCCCCTTCTGAACAGACTGTAGCCATTGATAGCCATATTCCAGTCATGGGATTCATCCTACCAAGTTTCAGTAATGGCAACTAGGTTGTAGCCTTCTAGAAGCACAGTGGTCTCCAACTCCTGTTTGTTGTTCATGCTGCGTGCATTGGTGTAGAGGCACTTCAGCTGGGCTGTTGGCTGTGTCACCTTCTTAGAGGAACACCCCTTAATTCCTTTGAGTTATTTCACTGTTGTTTCCCTGTTACGTCCTATTATCTCAGGAGCCCTGGCTTGCCTCCGTAAGACTTCAAGTGTGCTGCAGTGTAGGCAGCACATCTCAGAGCAACAGGCTGAAGGCCCTTGCTAGCACCCACCCCTCAAACCTTGACATGTCATCCCACAGGTTGGCACAGGTGAGCCTAATACTATCTCCCTCCCCCTTCAAGTCTAGTTTAAAGCTCTGACAATGAGCCCTGCTAGCTCATGAGCAAAGACCCTCTTCCCTCTTTGAGAAAGGTGAAACCCATCTGAAGCCAGCAGGCTTGGTGCTACGCAGGCCATCCCATTATTGAGAAACCCCTATTGTGGCAGTCACACCAGCCACTGAGCCATGCATTAATAGACTGCACCTGTCTGTTTCTTCCAATGCCACTGCCTGCAACTGGAAGGAGAAAGGAAAAAACTACCTGTGCTCCAGAGTCCCTTACCAACCACCCCAAGGCCCTGAAGTCTCTCTTGATTGCCTTTGGACTACGTGTTGTGGCTTCATCACCACCCATATGGCAGAGCAATAATGGGTAATAGTCTGAGGTCCATACCAGGCTAGGAAGTTTCCTAGTGATGTCCTTAACCCAGGCCCCTACATGACAGCAGACTTCCCTAAGATGAGGGTCTGTCCGGCACATTGGACCTTCTGTTCCCCTTAGAAGGGAGTTGCCTACAACTATAACTGGTCTTTTCTTCCTCATGGAGGTGGTTGTGATCCATGGGGTAGGTCTTTTTGACCTTGGCAACACCTCTGATGTAGACGGACCATCATCTACATCATCCAGTGACTGATGTGACTTCCACATCGAAAGCGTCATACCTGTTGCACAGAAGCACCTGGAAGGCAAGGTTGCACGGAAGGGGTTTGCCTGCCGCTCCAAGCATAGACTTGCCTCCATTCACTCCTTTCATTTTAAGCTACTGCCTTCAGTCTGGTGGGGCAAGAGTACAGGATCCCCTTGATCTTGTTTTTTTTTCTGGTGTTTGCTCCTGTTTCTGTCTCAGGGAGGGCAGTGCATGGTTCCACTAGTCTCTCTCAGACTCCCTGATGCTCCTTAACCTTTCTACTTCCTCTCGTAGCTCTGCCACCAGGCTGAGCAAATTGCCCACCCAGTCACACTTTACACCACTGTTCTCACTACTGCCATCCATCACCAGGGAAAGACTCTGGCACTCTCTGCAGCCTGAGAAAGGGGTAGCTGCGTGTTTT